TGGTGTCGTGCAAATTAGAGTACGGTCAAAAGGGTTAGTAGTTGACTTTGCATTTAATCATAGTAGCGTTTTTTTTTTTTTGAAACATCATTTAATCATATTGTTAAAAAGCACATGCCTTTCTCCACGTGATATTAGCTTAGAAAGTGCCGTTAGTTGTATGAAATCAAATGATATCGATTAAAATATTTAAATGTATCTTTTACAGCATTTTTTCCCCCATTTCAAATTTTCCTCTCTGTGAGTTTGTTTCGTTCAATACTAACATCTCTATATTGATTTTTGTTTTGAGTTTACATTAAGAAGAGATATTTTGTCTTCAATTTTAAACGGCATAAAATGATCACATAATTGGATACTCATATTTAAACTCAATTATTCCCAAATCTATCACATCCAAATAATCAAATTCAGCAGCTCCACTAACCTTGCATTATGATAACTAAGACCATCTTTATAAGTAAAACGCTTTTTAGAAAATTAAAAATCAATATAACGTGTTATCTATAAATTGTTTTTGATATTTGGTTAATTAAGGAGTTTTGGGCCCTCATACATATTCCTATCGTGTTTTTTTTTTTTTTAAATTACCTTTCCGTTAGTTCTACTAGAAAAAATCGGAAGAGATTTTTAATTTTTTATACACGCGCACATTCTTTCACCAAATTACAAATTACGCTCAAATCTTATATCTTATTTTCTTTCACCTTCGACCAAAATCTTTGGTCGGGTCCTGGTCCGTTCACTCGACCACCCTCGCAGCCCGGATATATTTGATTCCCTATTGAAAGGACCGCTTTTTTTGTGTGTATAAATGATGTTGGTGAGTTCCGCATTTACCGTGGAACAAAACGCACCAAACGTGGCAATTGTTCACAGTCAAATAAACAAGTTTAATTAATAGTGCAAAGATCAAAGTCTCCGTTTATATGCTTAAGCATATTACTATGTACATTAAACTCCAACGAGAAACTACGTAACAGCATGTGAGCATTAAATTAAGAATTAAAATAAAAAAAGAAGAAGAAGTAAGTGTTGGGATAATAATAGAAGAAGATCGCAGAGGATCACACCAGATTTAGGGCAAGCTCGAACAGAGAACAGTGTTTGGAAGGGAGAGAACATCGGCTTGTGTTAAGTGGGCCAACTAGATTCTGTCTTCTCTGGCTTTTACTCCAATTCATATACATACATGATTCATTCATCGAACACATTATATATATAGAGCCACTTGTCTTTTTTTTGTCATTAATTTACATATTTTTTTGTCATTGAATCACAGGTTTTTCTTACACATTTTTCTTTTAGTATATATCTCCCATATCACTTTTTTGGGGTCAAAATATCTCCTATATCACACTATGACACATAAAATTCTCTTATAATTTTCTTTTGTCAACGACACAAATAAAATTCTCTATTAGTAGAAATAACTAGCAATTAAATATATATATATATTTTTTTAACTCAGTTTAACACATATATGTGTACGGTCGTCACGGGACGAGTTAGAAGAATCGTAGGTTTTGTAGGCTAAAGAGTAAAGGCACTGTACATTGCAGTCTGTAGAAGTCATCGTTCATGCAAAATTGCCAGAGCGTAAACTTCTATGCTTAAAGACAGGATTTGAATACATAATTTAAATTTAATTGAAAAGTCATTTTTATGCTATATTATATAATAATTTAAGTTAGCTAAACAGTTTAAAATTTGGACTATGATCAGTAAGTGATAAACAAAGTTATATGTTTGGTTTTTTTTTTTTGGTATAAAATATGTTTAGTTTGTTTAAGCTATGTTTGTGAATGTCTAACATAAATTATACCAAAGTAACTAAGATTTGTAATTTCTCTTTCTTTTGAGCTCATGTAATTCAATAGAAAATCTTTTCTTTTCTTTTAAAGAAGTGGACTCAAGGCTTGTAATTTTTTTCGTTTCTCATACGTTTCAATAGAATATCTTTTATCCAAAAAAAGTTAACCAATATTTCTTTGGAGTTTATTTTGGTAAGGTTTGACATCACTTTTTCAATTATTTTGTTTGGTCTAGCATAATTTGGTTCATTTACCGGACATATTTCCTATATTACCTGAAAAGTATAAGTTATAACTTATAAATAACCCTACCCGATCCATAGCTTTAACAATTAGCTAAGGGATATCCATATATAGACTTACCCCAAAATTCTCTCTTATATATATATCCTTCATTAGAGTTAAAGCTAGTGCATGCTCTTTGTTTTTATTGAAAACATAGTGCATGCTCTTTGTTCTCTTAAGGCATTGACATATACAAGGATTTTAAGAATTTAGCATGTTTTCTTCATATTGAAATATTTCAATTGAAAACATGCAACACTTACCACTACATTCTTCAAACAAGATTTGATATTTCTGCTACTCTGATCAATTAGCTACTTTAAAGAGACCAATATTTCTTTGGGAAATTGGCAAATATAACAAATAAAAAAAATGAAAACATAATAACTAAGAAAAAACTCCTATGTGACACTAACCATAGCTACTAA